GAATGCCCTCGGAGCATCTCTAACCATTCTGGATCTCATCGATAAAAAGATGGCATCAAAATAACCAGGACACAAATGTGTCTTGTTTCCTCCAGCAATGAGTGAAAAAGGTGCACATGTGACTATCGAGCAAATATATATATATATTTGAAAAACTGGGAAATTTGTCTTAGCATCTGACAAGGTTCTTTGGGTGAATCTGATATCTTTTATTAGACCAACTTAAATAGTTGGAAAACAATTATTAAGCAAGCTTTCGTGTTGAAAGCTTAGCATCTGATGCAGCTGGGGAAGCTACAGTTCCAATGCTCTTGTCTTAAGCATGGAAATTGCAAACCCTGCAGCCTATTTCACCCGCTAACCCACTTCAGGGTGCTTTCTTTTGGATTAAAGCATTGCTTACTAGGAGCTGGGCAATTTATACCAGTTACGCTGCTTTTCTGAAGGGTACCCGGGGTCTTGATATACAGCAGGGCCACACTTACAGACCCAGATTCAGCTCAGCACATACTTTACTTGAGCAGGGAGCTAGCGTGGGAACAAGCACAAGGCTTCAGCATGAGTGACTCCGTGGCTGCTAGCAAATTCCCGGGGACATGGGGAGTCAGGTCCCATTCCCTCTTCTTCCAAGGGCCCTCTATTTGAACTTGGTCAATTGATTTAATCTCTCTGGGACTCTACTTATGCAGCACTAGCAGCCTGGCCCTGTCCTGCCCTGCCTCACAATGGTACTAGGAGGAAGCTGCATTCAAGATCACCGGGTACTGAGATAAGACAGTAACGGGGTTCTGCTAAGTACCTAAAATGTTGCATGGGCCCTGGCTGCTGGCTGCAGGAGATACTTCTGCAAGGAGACTGCCTTGTCTGCCCTACTGGAGGGCCCCTGATCCCCATGGTTGATCCCTCATTTCCTGATCGTTCCTTGTGCCTTGAGAGAAAATCTAAGCAATTACTGCCAGCAAGCGCATTATTCTGCAATGAAACCCCAGTAAGTCAGAAATGACTGGAACTTGCAGAAGGGGCCAGAGGCTTGACTATCCTTCTAATCTGAGCTTCTATTTCCTGGCATAGAAAGACAGTCCTACTTGTCCATAGCATTCCCTTGGTCACCTCTCCACCCAGCATCTTCCAGGGCAGCTTAACACTGCTGACCGTCCATGAAGCCAATTGCAAATCATAGGAGGTTCCCGAGGGAATCACCTGTACACGCACGCTTAATGAAAGCTGCTAGCTTCAGATCCTCCTGGCATCTGCCTAGCTAAAGGCTGTATTTCCAGTGGAGGCATAGGTAGGTTTGATGGTATCACAGAGTGTGCAGTACAGTCACTTCAGTCACACCCCAGGCTGCATGGCGCTAACGCTATGGACGCTTGGGCTATGCATTGTTCTGTAGTTGCTGTTGGTTTTTATAGACAGTACAATTCACCTCTCTGTAGACAGTACAATTGCAGCAGCAATGACATGGTGCCAGACACTATACAAACTCATTGCAATAGGCAGGACTCATCCTGAAGAGCTTCAACAGACAAGACAGGCCCAGCAGGACTTATTAACCCTATTTGACTGACAAGGCCTAAGAGATGAATTAACCTATTCTCCAGGGGGGCTGATTCATTTGACCATTGCTTCACTGCCCACACTGTATCTGAAGCACCCAACATTGCAGACTTACAGTCTGTTGTGCTACGTGCTTGCGGGGGTCACGTCTGGGATCAGTCTGGCTAGCTCGCGTGGGAATATTCCCTGCTCGCACAAGTCAGTCCTGCTGCGTGTGAGCCAAGCCTGCAGAATCCAGCCCTGGATCCTGCCTCTTGAAGGCAGCTGGGGGGGGGGGGGGGGGGGGGAGAAGCCGATGATGCTGTTTTGCTGAATTACAAGCATTCCCAATAAGGAGGTGAAGATGGGCCGTAATGGGGGTTGGGGTCAATACACAACTGATTGATTGCAAACATCTAGAATGCTTGGTTCACACATGATACCTTTTATTAGACCAACTAAGACGTTGCAAAAAAAAAAAAAAAAAAAAAGATCTTTTTCTTCTTGATTGCTTGATTTGCATTGTTTTCTATTGCTGCTAGCACTGCTTCCAGCACCTGGACCAACCCTCCTGGGTGCCTTTGCGGCAGAGACTTATACTAGATAACATGAGGAAAAACATCTGACGAACCACACAAAGGTCTTAGAGCTATGGGCTGAAGAATTAGGCTTGGTGAAAACCACCCGAGGATTTCCAAGGGATGCATTTTCCCAGCCCCCCTCTGGGAAGTTACAGGTGGTCTCATGAAGGACTGCCCATCGTGAGCCCCTGCCGTGAATGTCGGCAATCCCCAGGAGCACGGATGTGGGGTTACACAGAGCCAAACTGGGTGAAAGGGGCATTTTCCCTGGCTCAGGCTGGCAGCCCGTGACAGGCAGCTGGGATTCACTCCAGTCTGCTAGTGTCAATGTAAAGTGTGGTCCCACGATGCAAAGTGACCATGGACGACTGGCTCTAACTTACTCCCCCTTGCTGTGCATTCAGACTCGGATCTGCTGCCGTCCCTGAACACGCTCTGCATGCCATTCAGCCTCAAAACAGCAGGAAGAAGCCAAGAGGAATGAATTTGTTCTCATACATCCCAAACACATCTCATGCATGCAGGAGATGAATATTCAGCGCGCTGAACAGCAGCCTGGACCTAAGCTGGATTTGCACCAGATAAGAGGGTGATGATTATTTCCCTTGCACTGGCTTCATCCAAGAGAAGTCCTAGCGAAGTTCATAGGATCCTCAGGGCTGCCCTAACTTACAGGCACTAGGAATATCCCCAGCTTCATGCTTTAATAGCAAATCCTTCTTTCCCAAATGCCTGAGATTTAGGAGATAGATCTTATAGGATCTTCAAACCTCTCCAAGAGAAACAGAGCTCTCAACTCCCACTAAATAGCCCTGGATCACATAAGATACTGCAGATGTCTGGGGAAGTGGGGCGAGCACCCTCCAAACAGAGGCAGTGGGGTCCCACAACCGAGCCCTCATTCACCTGGAACGAGGCAGGAGGACGTTTCATTGACGAGCGAGGGTGAAAAAAGCAATAAACAAACCGTTAGCGTCTCCTGCGAAGGGAACAGTTTGTACTCGCCTCTCGCAGCCCGAGACACTTTCTGATTCTTTGAGAGCTTTTCACTCAGCCAGAATAATGCAGCGCACACTAGCCTCTATCATGCCTATAAGCACACG